CTTTGTGGATGGCTGAATGGTTGATGATGAAGTCATCTCATGAGTTGTAAGCGTGGATGTTGGCAATGTAGACTGATTTGTCAGGCCAGATGTCACAGATGTAATTGTCGAAGATTTTTGCCCAGTTGTTGATGTAACAGAAGTAGAAGACAGACTGTGACTTGTTGTTTGAGAAATGGTTGTGTTCAGAATTGTTGTTGTTGACAGATATGTTTGTGGAGAAATACTGGCAGTAACCAGTGTGACATTTGAAAGTTTTTTGTCTGTTGTTGAGATTACAGAACCCGAAAATTGCTCTTGACTTGTTGCTTGAGGAGTCGTTGTGGAAACAGTTGTGGCTGCTGGAAAAGAGTTTTGAGAATAATGAATAATTATTGTTGTGGAATATGGACTCGAGAAAGACTGTACATTCAGAGATGCCATTGATAATTATAGTGGACTTATGAGTGGTTTTTAATCGTGATTATTTTCTACGTATTTAACGGCTGTTCATAGTTCATAAGAACATAAGATCTTAACATAAGATGTTCTTGCACACAGGGCTGACTCAACAAAATGGCAAAAAAGTTTTGAGTCACAGCTGTCGGAAATGGTGAGAAAACAGAAATATCTATCCGAAACGATGCTCAGTGAATATAAAGGCAGACAAATGAGGAGAAACTCATGGAGGGAGATCGCGGAAATTTTGGTTTTGGATGAAAATCACTGTAGAAAAGTAATCTTCATGACAAGTTTGCAAAAGCCAAAAGGTGGGTCTCCAAAAAAAAATAGAAAGAGCAGTCAGGTTGGAAGACGAAAAGAAATACCCTTGCTATATATCTCCTGCACTGGCTGGATTCTTCATCAAAGAGGGAAACATCCACCAATATGACTCCTATTCCAAGTCAAACGGAGGTAAGCTATTAAGGATTTGCATGTGACGTGATATTCACGTGACTTAATGTTTTGGCGGCTATACTGGAGGTCAAGGTTGGGTTTATTCAGGAGGTGTTATTCAGTTACTACAATATAATCATGGCTACTTTAAACAGCACAAAAAATGTAAAACTGTCAGAAATTGCTAGCTCATTAGATCAACATTCTAATCAACCCTCGCTACTACTTAATTCATTCTACCTCGTCCTACACCAACCAAGAACTGAAAAGTTACAAGGGGTTAGAGGCTTATATGTTGTAGCGGGATGCGTGAGATCTTTGTTGATCACCAAGCCATCACATCTGTTCCTTATAATAGCAAGGGAAAGTAGAATGGGGGTCAAAATCAGAGCCGTAGCTACCCCAGTCGGTGGAAATTGAGCGAGGGATTCTGTGCCTCTGAAAGTGAGAACCGTTGGGGGAATCTGTGCCGCACAGCGCTTCCTTGTTATTTATCGCATACAAATACTACACATCGGTGAGGGGGCAGGGCAGTTCGGCAACAGAGCATCTTAAGTTCTTATGTTCTTATTGTTCTTATGAAGGATGAATAGGCCTTTAGTAAATAAGGTATCACGTTAGTACGACACCATTTTAGGTTTTAGTCAAAGCAAACTGCAAAATTTTAATACAAATTCTCAATAACTGAAATAAGTTAGTTGATTTCATTTTCAAAACTGATGAAACTGATTTTTTATTTTTATTATTATTATTTTTTTAATAAAAGCAACAGATTGGCATTTCCAATGTTTTTATTTTAACATTACTGAATCCAGCTTTATAGCTGCATTTTAAGTGGTGGCTGCATTTTTAGAGGTGGTGGTAATAAACCAGAAATAATTTTGTGTTGGCTCACAGCTGAATTGCTGAAATCAGCCTTTTAAATAAAAGTATAATTTGGATACAATTTAGATTTGATTATTTAAAAAAAAAACAAAAAAAACAACTTTTTTAATCACTAGCAGAGCCCTGACCCTGGAGCCATGCCTAAAGCAAACTATGCAAATGTGGCCATACCGGATTGTCAAAGCCTAATCCTGTCATATCTCAGAAGCTAAGCAGGCTGGGCCTGGGTAGTACTTGGATGGGAGACCACTGGGAATTCCAGGTGCCACAGTGGGGCGTCAGTGGCAAAAACTGTTGTTGTGTCCTTAGGCAAGACACTTCACCCACATTGCCTAGTATGAAAGTGGTGTGTGTGAGTGATGGTGGTGGTAGGAGGGGCTGATGGTGCAGATAGGCAGCCTCACTTCTGTCAATCTGCCCCAGGGCAGCTGTGGCTACAGTTGTATCTTACCACCACTGAGTGTTGAGTGAATGTATAATGAACTGTAAAGCACTTTGTGTATCTTAAAAGGTGCTATATAAAGGCAATGATTAATTAAATGTAGTATGTCCCCTTTTAAGAAAATCGATACTGCAGTAGTAATAACAAAATAAAAAAACACTATCAGATTATCCTCCTTTTGCCTGCTCTCTTTTGATGAAGCAGCCAAAGATGTTAAAAGCATTTTTATATTGTAAATACACAATGCATGCATTCACAATCTAGCAGTGAAAAGATTGAAAGTTTTTTACTCCTATAAGGATGGTCAATTGCTGAGGACATTTGCATTTTACATGACATTTACATTTTCTCATCTGTGATTACAGCAGCAACAGCAACTATACATACACATCTTTAAATCCTTTTTTTACTCCTGGCGTTAACTTTCATTAAATATCAGTACTAATATGCTCATTCTTTCCAACATGAATCAATATTGTTATCACAAAAGGCCCAACATTTTCAGTAATAATCTCATGTAAACTGTCCAATTACATATTCTATGGATTATTATTTTTGAGGTTCCAAATGAGGTGCTCACGGCCCATACAATACACATACCTGATATACCTGACAACAAGAGGGACTGATTTGGTAGGGGTAAACTGGGCATGGACAACTAAACTTCAGTTCAAATATAGCTTCATTCACACAAGACCAGGGTCACAAAAAAGAAAAACATACATAGAACGAGAGTCTTACCTTGTTCTTGTGCAAAAAGGAGTGCTGAAAAGAAAATGCAGGTAGTTACAAACATAACAAATTTCTTTCTCCATTTTGTTGATTCATAAATCCAGCATTTCATTTTAAAGTCTTGAAATTGTCATCCAAACGGTGTTGAATTCAGTGCTGCTCCTTATCTATCCTCTTGTACACATACATAAAGTCAAATAACTTCTAATTCATTATTTTGTACAATGAGTACTTTTTTGTTCGGCTTGCGCTTGTCCACCATATAAACATATGTTTCTTAGTATCAAAAGCCTTTTTAAGCATCATCAATGATCAACCAGTGAAGTGTGACAGGTACAGCAGCATGCTCCTCCTTTGGCAAACCTTTGATGTGCCCTTCACGCCCAGCACATATGCCTTAAGAAAAGATCCATATTACAGTGACGTTGAAGCTGAGAACTCAAAATAGAGAAGGCATAAGCAATCTACAGCCACATTATCAGTTACATCTCCTTTAATGCTCCTAAATGGAAATGTGTAATAAAATAAAATTAAAACTAATATTTTCAGAAGAATACAACATCTTAAAAGTATAGTCCTCCATAATTCATTTAGTTTTGACTCAAAGTGACTGTGTCCAGTGCTACTGTCCACATACACAACTCAGCAGAACAAAATTCATTTAAATCTATACACCTTCTCCCTTTGGTTTTGCAGATGAAGGGAGCCTGTTTTACTTTGACAAAAAATGACTAAATATTCAGGGCCGTAACTCCATTGCACAAGTTACAATGACAATAAAGTTTATCCTATTCTTACTCCAGACGCAAGACCAGTAATAGACCTAATGCAGAATTCTTTAACAAACCACCCTATTTCATATTACATTTTTGTTTTCCGTTGGGGGTCCACTCCCTGCATGTATGTATGCAATGCTACCTTGAAAAACATGAACTCGTACAGTGAGCAGGCTTGCCTGAGTTGCCTCTTCATAGAGCTGACATGTAAATTGGTGGAGTCACCTCCTTGTTTTAATGGTTAAATAAGTTCAGTGCTACACCACGGATTACTGGGTCAACAGAGTATGTAAAAAAAAAAAGTGCCATCGTGATAAAAAGCCATATACATCCACAGCACTATTTATAGATCATTTATATGATAAAAAGTTACATTGAAATTAGCATTCTTTGAAAAAGGTAAACATCACAGTTGATAAATTCTTAGTAACACCACCTCTGTTTACTTTTGATAGTATCAGTCAAACACTGAAGTTAGAGGGCCACAAAAGAGGGTTTATATGTTTTCTTGTAATAAAGATATTTTTAACAGGTGTACATTTTAAAAGGGAAATTCCATTAGATAAACTGTTATTTCAGCCCATGACACTAGATTCATTCTGTTTCATCCATCTTCTTTTTTTTTTCCTTTTTGATTTTAGGGGATCATTTAGGGGAATTGTTTAGAAAATGTTTTGTAGGTTGGTGTGATATTTCTGTGGGCATGACATAATATGAAGCAATAATGATCTCTGAACTATTTTATGATTAACTTTTTTTTCATTCAAACCAAAAGGCGCTACCTTAAGGCTAACTTGGCACAGATAAGTTTTAACTGCACCCATTTGCCGCACAGCATACATAGTGATGTGTTTGTAATGTGCATCTTTAAAAATTCCACAAAGTTATGGAAAATCTCAATATATATTAACTGTACAAACAAATAAAATTGTAACCTTTAGAGGTAGAGGCACGCCCTAGCCTTCCCTTGAGAATTTTTCCTTGTAAGAATTACTGATTAAGCCAATGATCATTTTGTCTTCTTATATACTTTAACTTCTTAGGTTCTTTTTAAAGACAATGCAGTAAAGTGTATTTACCTTGTTGACATGTTTCGGCTGCTTCTGAAGATGGCTCGCAGCTAGCAGCCGAAACATGTCAACAAGGTAAATACACTTTACTGCATTGTCTTTAAAAAGAACCTAAGAAGTTAAAGAATTACTGAAAAGTGAACAAAATAAATCAACAAACCTTTTTTGTATTTTTATTTTCAGAAAATGTATGTTATTTTAAAAAAAATCAATGATTCATTTTCAGAGTTGAGATTTTATTTTATTTTTTTAAGGAATTAAGATCAGAAACATGATAACCCACACAACATTATAAATGCTGATTTGCCTCATACAGAGTATGGCTTTGCTATTGCATCTATTCAAATGTTTTTATTACACTATGAAAAACCTGTGTGCTTACCATGAGCGGGGTGGCTTCTCTACAGATGTGACCTGTAACTGCCTGGTGGCGTTACCATTTGTTTGTTTCCATGGAAACACACATGTTAAATGCCATGCTGTGGAGCATTCAAGGCAAAGCAATAACATCATCATGGACAAAAGCAGGTATTGGGGCCTCTCCCAGAATAGTTACATAGTGCACCTTTAAAGCTTGGCAATGACATACATAAACATTGCTTTAAGGCTTGAATAGGGTCATGTCTTCAAAGTATGTTAGATGGAAATGTACATAATATATTGTTTGTGACGTCCTTCCATAGCACAGTCTCACACAAGACTACTGCTTTTCTCATCACTCTTCTTATCACTCTTCTTCTTTTTCCTTGGAGGTCTCAGTCTGTGTTGCCTGTGCTGCCTGAGCTCTGTGGCGCTCGGCTTCTGTCACAGTCATTGGATGTAGAGGGAAGAACCCAGCTAAACCTAGAGCAAACACGTACAAAAATCCATCAGTCAATTTAAAGGTCAGACACGTCACTTCATATCTCCTTTAGATCAAGTAATGAATAACCTATTTAACTGTCATTTTGCAATATTTAAAGAAAAGGGTGTAGGTTGATTGCTTACAGCTATTACACAAACTGTTCAACAGAAATAAATTTTTATCATCTTGTGTCACAAGGTGTAACTTAGAAGTATATTTATAAACAGTCACCTTTGATAAACACACTGAAATCATTTCCATCACATCATTTAAAAGCATGGTAGTAAAGTGATCAAATTGCGAGCACACACCGAGCAGCTTGGCCACAGGTTTTGTTGCATGGGCACCACAGCCGATCCAGTACTTTATGCGGTCGTAGTTGAAGCTCACGAGTTTCTCATTGTAGATATTTGGCAGAGGGTCATAAGTCCCCAACTGTTCAATATATTTACCGTCCCTGGCTCTTTTGTTGAATGCAGCCACAATTCGGTAAAAGGGTCTGTTTGCCTGCTTGTGACCAGCGAGAGCTAGACGGATGACCACATATCCTCCATGGTACTGTTTTAGGAGGAGGGATGCTGCCAAGAAAAAAAAAGAAAAGAAACTGTAAACATTTTCAATATGATTATGTCCTAATATCTCCTTTAATCCCTGATGATTACTTACACAAATGAATGCCAGTTTTTATTATTTATTCTACAAAGGCATGGGCAGGTGATTTGTACATTTTCAACTTTTGAAATGTACTTGGTTAACTTTTCTGGCAGGGTTAATAAACTTCTGTTTTTATTTTTATTCAAAACATTTTTGTTTGTAAGATTCTCAGTTCCTCCACACCAGGCTTTTATTTATTTATTATCTGTGGCTGCTTTTACACTTTGCCCGTGCCTGCAGCAAGACATTAAACAAAAAATACACAGACTTTTTATACATCAACATTATTTAAATGTTCATATTACATACATTAGTGTAATGAAAGCACTATTAATCTATCTATCTCTCTATATATATATATATACACACACACACATTCAGGAGGGCTGTTGCACGTGACAATGTCCATGTGAAAAGACTGAGTAAAACAGCACTGAGCATCAAACCACAAAGACAAGCAGACCTAATGACTACTTAAAAAAATAAAATAAAAAATGTATAATGTATTATGAAGATTTGTCCTACATTTGACCTGTAATTTGATGTCAATGGGGAAACCAGTCAGAAACAGTTCCCAGGGACACAGATCTTAAGCCACATTCACAGCGAGGAGTACCTAGCTCCTGTCTATTCTGCATATTTTTGAAAGTTGTTGATACTTACATAGATGGACCATGATGCTTGGATAAAAGTTCTGCGGAGTAAGAAAAAATCATATTTGATGAATCACAAGCTAAAATATGACTTGTTTTAATTACATTTTAAAGGTTTAATTGCTTAGTTCTAAAATAAAACCAGATGACTAACAAGATACATTTTTTATGAAGCGATAACTAACTGACTAATGTCCTGTTCCTGGACATTAGTGAGTCAGGGAGGGATCATTAGGGATGGGCACTCGATGAAATTTTCTTAATCATATAAACCGTAACCACTCTAGAGCCACATCAATCCGTTTGACATTATAATGTGTTTAATTCAGTTTTGCGCAACTCTCACAGAAACGAAACTTAAAACCGCATCGCTAATTTGCATAAACTAAGCGAAGATAAAACTACAGCTCTTGTGTCGCTGATGCGGTCAATTTCTGTCGGATTAAAAGACATGATTCAGTGGAATACAGGTTTTGTGACCATATTTGCGTTTGTCAAAACCAGGACACCGTACGGGGGGTGGGAGGTGAATCCTCGTTATCGACATTGCGCGACTCTCACCTGGCAAAGCTTTTTTCCACTGGACAAAGAAACATGTGCTGCTTTATACACTGTGCACATGGACTCACACTGGTCCTGAACGCAGCGGAAAAAGTGGAATTTCTTGTACAAGTCATCGTTAAATACACATTTGTGCTTTGGTACGTTGCAGACTGACCGACTGTTTGTGTTTGCTCGCTCCTTCTGATGCAGAGAGACACATGTACGGACCCCTGTTTGGTCACGCTACGCACAGCAACCTATATTCATTTTGTCGATTAAAATTAACGTAATCAATGAAATTCTTAATGATCAATTATCGATTAATCATGCCCATCCCTAGTCCAGTAAAACATTTTGACAATGAGAATTTACACACTAGTAAAAGATATTCATAGAAAAAACAGACGATCAGTTTTATTTTCAAAGATAATGACACAAACATTACTCTAAATACTTATCTTACACTTGTACGTACTTGCTTTTGCTAATCAATATGTTTTAATACATTACAAATTGCACAATTACAAATGTACAAATGTTATGTATTATTATTTTAACTTTAAGTATAGCCAGTTATTTGCTTCTGCTTTTAGGGACTGTTTAACTGTCAAAACTTCCTGATAAGAGTATTGACTTTTTGCATATCAATCTCTAGACATGAATTAGTCTGTGTCAGTCTCTGGTAACCATCGGGTATTTGTCTTTATGGCCAATTCAGCTCAAGTTGCAAGTTCGCTTTTATATGATTTCTATAACACGTTAAACCACTCAACAAATAAAAAAGAAAAAGATAAATAAAAAAGATAAGTACACTTTGATTTCGTTTCTAGATCAGTACTGTTTAATATTTCTCTCATGTCTATGTTGACATTTTAGCAAAGGACTTAAAAGCATGCAGCTAGCGGAGGAAAACAAAATAGCAGTCTAATGAAGCTTTCCAGAGATATTCACATGGATATTCAAAGAACCAAATTACCTATTTGATTTCGCCGGACAATGCGCATGAATCGACTCTGTTTTAATGAATATCTTTGACAAATTTGTCCTAATGTGACTTGCTAGTGCGCCGCCATATTGACACAGGATGTGACGTATCAGTAAAGTCCTCTGAAATTTGACTGCATTACTGCCCCCTTCAGGTTACCACTGAGTTCATCGTTTAAATAAGTACAATCTAATCTCACTTAAATGACAATGACCTGCCATAGTTTCCTTCCAATACATACATAAAAAAAGCATTATTTTCTTTTCATTACATAGTCCTGCCTAAAATATTACAAATTGTAGCGTTATTTGTACATAGCTCCAATGAAAGTAATGTACAGTGCTGACCTTTTTTTCGGCCACTAGGTGGTGGTGTTGCTCCACCGTGCAGTGCCAAACTCCACTATCTGTTTTACGAAAAGGCAAACACGTAAAACAAAAACAAAAACAAACAAACAAAACAAAAAAACAAAAAACAAACAAAAAAAAAAAAACCACCACGACCACACCACGTGAAAGCCACGGTGCATTGAAATATGACTATGGTAAGATCACGTTTTACTACAAGTTAAAATATAAAATATGACATGTTGTAAGCATAGGCTAGAATACTGTATTTATGCATATTAACAGAATATCTTACTTTGTACTGCGATATCCCGATCAAGTAAGCGCACATAAAGGCTCAATACATTTACAGGAGAGGAAAGTAGGAAAGTATAAGGATGTTCAAATTCGCTAAAATAATATAGTTTGACTAATATTTGGCTGTACAGAGTTGACGAGTGCATAACTTGAATGTGATAATACGAATCTGAAAAAGGAACGTCTAAATTTCTACCTTGACTTGCTCTTCACATCAGTGGCTGATTGAGAAAATATGCAGCATGTTTCATAAACCAGAGATATTTCTGAGCTCACACTGGCTAAATATTCAAAGCCCTAATGTGACCTTAGGTTTTGTTTTTTGTTTTTTTAAGTTTGAAAAGTAGGCATTTTTAAATTTACTTTAAAAACACTTTCTGATTAAGGTGTGAAGGGGTATTTTCACCATTAATGTTTTTTTATATCCTGATTGAAGAAATATATTTTGGTTATTTTGTGTTATTTAGTAGTACCCAGCCTTCCGGAAACCCAGACTTTACTGAAGAATCACTTGACGGCAGTGGTGAGCAGAGTCATGGCCTGGATTCCCCCTGCTGTAATGGTAACCTTACACACTTCTGTTTATGTACTCCACTTATTGCATTATTACCTGTCATTATTTGTCATTATACCTTTAGGTGTACTACAAAATATACATACATCACAGAATAAATGTAAAGGACACCCAGACCTATAAGTGTATTGTGAGTTTTTATTTAAAACTATAGTATTTTTAAAGACAATTTAGGCTAACACACGCACGCACACGCACACACACACGCACGCACACACACACACACACACACACACACACGCGTTACTTAAGGATCTTCCACTTAAGGAGTAAATGTGCTTTATTTTGGTTTACTGTGGATTTCTCATTGTGCAGAGTCACATACTGATGTTGCATGTTTGACAGTGGGGGTGATAAAACCAGCCTTTTGCTTATTGTAATCACTGTTTAAGATATACTAACTGCCACTTACATTGTGACAGTGACTCAGGTGGTAGAGTAGTTGTCTGCTCAAACCAAAAAGTTGGTGGTTTGATCTCAGCTCTGATCAGTGCATTCCACTGATGTTATACAAGGCACTTTACCCACCTTACCTATTCGCGGGTTTCAGCTATTGGTTCATATGTGATATTTTGAGCATTTTGTCACCTCAAAAGATATATTTTGTTTTATATTGTTAATTACTGTGGCATCGCTGCTAGATTTTCATCACTCTGAAACCATGGATATTTAAATGTGGTGTGTGCATGAGTTATTGGTGGTTGGAGAGGTCATTGCCACACACTAGCATCCACGTGTCCATCACGGCACCCTAGGGCAGCTTAATCAATAGTGATTTAGCATAGGACTTATACAATATTTCAGTAACTATTTGTTATAAATCATTAATCGCTATGGTAATTCTCCAAATTTTTCATTATTCAGAACCTGTGGATATCTGCTTGCAATCTGGCAGCAGTTTGACTTGTATCCAGTGGAAACTTCTTGAATCCTGGGCCATGGCAGTGAGCAGGGCCTGGCCGAGGCCTGGGCTCCTCCTCTGCTGTTGGAACATGGTGATTTCACACTCCTGTTGTGTAAAGCTTGTATTTCCTAAGTGTGTGTGTGTGTGTGTGTGACAAACGCATGGTTTTCTGCACCAAGAGGTCACTGAAGACGCAAAAAATAGGCAGAGCCTTGTTTGAAATTCTGAAAATATCCCACTGTCCCTGTGTGACTCTTCAAACAGGGTGGGTTTTTTAACTGATTAGTGGAAGATAAAACTTTCAAGCATTCCTACAATTATGGGGTTTACTACTGTTTTAATGGTGGCTTTTAGCATTTATGTCTTCTATATCCATGGGTTTCAAAATGAGGAGAAATTGGGTCTCTTGCCATAGTAATTAACAATTCATTACAAAATATTATATCTTTTGAATGGTCAATCCACAAAATGGCCCATTATTACAAGATGCCATGAACAGGGAATATATTTGAAACATCCAAACAATTTATGATACACAAAATGAAACTTACCCCAAAACGTTTGTGATTTATTTACCATTTACCAGGAGGTTGTACTGTTCCAGTCGGCCTTAGATGAGTCCAGGATAATGAACTGTTACTGGCAGACCAGGTAAGTCTTTCTCACATTCTCAAATGACAGAATGGTTGCCCTGCCTTCCTGTGTTGAAATATTATATTACACTTGTCCAGTTGAATTCATTAATAACCTCTGGGGTGGAAAAATGCTTTCCTTTTCCTTAAAATATGGACTGATTCTTAAAAGCTTGGACATCACTATGGAGTACTAGTCACTGAAGTTTGTCATATATAATAGCAAGATTAATACCACAATTCCTATAAAGAACATTTTTAGCAATATTTAGAACCTTTTTTTAGGCCTGTATTATTTTCAGACTGATAGGAACAAAAAAAAAAAGTAGCTGCGTCATTGTTGAATTCAATCTTAAATATTAGATTTTTAGACAGTTTTGTATTTCAATATAATATTAAAGACCATTTAGAGACTTATATAGAGACTTAACTATAGATAAGGTAGTTATATGATGATTAATCCAAAGAAGGACAAGAACATGGACTAATTTGTCTCTTAAGAAAACAAATATTCAAACTGCCACCAGCGGTAACACACGTATAGTATGTACCACAGTTTAAGAAATACACTCTTATGTCTTCTTTAAACGGTTCATATTACACTGTTTTCTGATTTATTTTTTAATTTAGTTTCTTTATCACAAACATACCCAGAGTTGTGTTTTGTTTCATTCACATGTTTATTGCACAAATCCTGCACATTTAGTATCTAAGTTCTTCTCTCAAATAGAAAACACTCTGCTCCACCTTGTGATGTCATGTGGCAATACAGTGAGTGTTCCACTGTGTTTCTGACCTCCATAGATTTTCTCTTGAATCATTTGGGTCATTTGAACCAAAGGAGAAAGGTTGATGCTACCTTGAAAACTACCGCTCCATGACATCACAAGGTGAAACAGAGCATTTTGAGCTTTGGAGATGTAGACAGACTAAGGGTTTCTTAAACATGAGTGAATGAAACAAAACACAAAACAAAACACAACTGAAGAGTCATTTTGAACTATCTTTAAATAATAGATAATAATAGTTAAATTAAATTTAATCGAACATAAATTTGAGCCTATAGTTTTGAGTTTCTCAGTTTTGTGTTTCACTCTAGGACAACAGTTTGAGAAACACTGACAATGACAGTATAAGTGACACATACCATGACTGGAGCACATTGGGGACTTTCCAAGTTAGATTTAAAATAAGCTCCCCAGTTTTCCATATAATTTTACAAACCGCAACATTTTACTGTCATATAAAAAAGCCATTGCTGAAAATACTTGTATACAAAGACCAAAATAGTAGACTGATAACTGATAAAAGAGACATGTCATGCACAGTATAATTTTCTTGTTTACCCTTCAAGTAATATTTCTAATTATACATTTCAGCTATTATATTTAGTTATACTCAACATCGTACTCAATGCACTGTAAGGTGTTTTTATGCAGCAGCATTACAAATACTTCAGGCAAGTTTGAGTGTCTTGCTCAAGGGCACTTCAACAATATGAAAATGAGATTGAGCTATCTTGCTTCCTGCAATTGGAAAACCTGTATTGCGTTCTTGCCTTGTGAACATATAAAATAGACTTTTCTCTATACTTTTTCAGCCAAGGAAAGAGAAAATTACAGAAAATTATGTGGTGGAAAAAATCTGAAATTAACAAAGGTTTATGAACTAATACAATGAATATGTAAATTTTTATAGTTAGACAAATATCCACTATGTAATTTTTCTGGTCAAGGGTCCTCCACTTGATGTCTTGATTGTCTCCATTGTGATGTTTTAACTTTTGCCTAGAATGTTTCACAGCATGCAACAGATAAGAAGACCAGTACTACCAGATTGAAAATGACTTCTGGATGAGATTTGAAACACTTTTATTTCAATAATGCTCACAAGGGATGTGTTGGCACATACAGAAGGCCTTGCCCAGATTAGATATTAAATTTGCTTCCTACTATAAGCTCCAGGTAGACTTTATATTAGAGATGATAGGAGATAAGTGTGTTTGTGAAAGGTTCAACCCTTCACATTCTCACATAGAAGAGATGCCATAATTGAGTGTTGTCAAGTCTGACACTTAGATAGCCTGACAGATATCTCTCTGTTATGCATATAATTGCTCAAGATAGTAAAGTAAGGTAAGATTTTAACAGTATATTACATCGCAAAAGGAGGTTGAATTCTGTCAACAGGACAAAATTAGCTGAGTGAATATTAGGCCTGTCACTATAATTTTTGTATCGACTTATCATTCAATACTTGTTGGAAAGCTGGAACAATATATTTTGTTGTGTGCACAATTTTTTTGCAAAAATGGGGAGATCTGGGGTATTTGATTTGAGCTGTATCAGGTGGAATAAGAAACTTCTAG